TAAACATATAATTAACAGCACAAATAATTCTAATACCCTGCTGGAGCTGACGGTCAAGTCAACAAGTGAGTGAGTAAATGGAAACAGCGGTGCCGTAGGGGCATGGTGGTGAAGCAAAAGTCAAGCGTGACACGGAAGCAAAAGTCAAGCGTGAGCGTATTCAGTCAATCTGGAAATGAATCTCTACTTGGTACTTGCTAGTTTGACTTTGGGTTAAGAGCTTTGCTGTGACCAATGACTGGGCACTGTTATGGCAAAACCTTTTGAAGGGTATAAACTTTTTGGCTTTTAGTATAGTTATCCCTCATAATCAAAGAGTTTAATTTTTAACTCCGATACTAACATGGTGTTTAACTGCCGTTTGTGGGCTTGAGCTTTATGCTGGTGTAGCCAACCATCCCTAATCACAAGTCACACCAGACTTCAGAGGCCATTAGGGCAACCTATCAACCTATCTTAAAATAAGGTATTTTCTCAAAAAAAATTTTTAAAAAAAGACCATGTAAGCAGTAAGCCTGACTTGTATAGGCTAGTTAATAGGACTCGCTTTGGTTGGATCAAAGCCTCCCCCTATCTTTCTCAACACCACGAGCAACATGGTATTTTTTACCTACAACCCTGCTTTACACCTACTTATTACGAGTTATTAACATCAACGATTTGTTAATCTGAGTGGAAGAAATTCAGTTTCTTTAAGTAAGATATTGAATTCGAGTCTTGTGAATGAAGAAACAGGTGTTGGGAGAACTTCCCTTTAATGAGATCCGATGTGATTCGATTTCAGATTAATCGAAACTCAATGTAATTAATAAATACTGAGAGGTTAATACCAAAAAAAAAAAATTATGAGTTATTAATCTGACATAAATTATTAATTTGATATAAATTAAACTAAATTAATAAAATAATGATCTTAATTGATCTTAAATTGATTTTGTTTGAATTATAATAATTAAATACAATACGTAGTACAAATGTTGTATTTTTGCTTGTTATGTTGGTTGAAATAACAAATATGGTGGTGGTGATAAGAGATAGCAAAGGTGAGTTGGTTGTTGGCTTGGCATTCCAACAATATACTTCATCTACAGCATTTGAAGGCTTAAAGCCTTGGCACTTCGAGTGGTAGCGAGCATAACTGCCTCCATTGGATTGAAAATATTTCTTTTTGAATTTAACCTGAAAGAACAAGTAAGGCCATATTGTGAATCATAAGGTTTTATTGTTTCATTGGCAAATTAAACCCTTAATTTAGTCAATATGGAGTATAATTGTTGTTTTTGATCGGGCTACTAAAGAAATCAATAGAGTTTGTGATTAGATGACTAAGATGTGTTGAAAGGAAATTGTCTCTATTGCTAAGTTAATTGCTCTCATAATAAATTATTTGAAGTTGCTATATATGAAATTATTATTGTTGTTAATAATTTAAATAACTCAATAATAATTTCATTTTGTTATAAATAAAAAATTTTAAATTCAAATCATATGACATACAGATGAAATAAAATAAAAGATAAAAGAAGATTATTTGTAATTATACAACTAATGATAACAAAAAAAAATCATTATTGTTGAAATGAAATATTACAAAGATGTTAGGGTACGGTCTCCACATTCTTTTAATGGTAAAATACAAAGCATTGAGTCATTTGACTATTAAGGCCAGGCTTCATTTGGGCCCAATTATAACTATGTAAAAAGTTACTGACCAAATTGAATCAATCTCAATAGTTATGACAGTCCATACTATTTAGTATTTACCACTAAAAAAGATCGCCGCTGAGAAATGAGCAACGGAAAGAAAATGATAACGGCGGAGGGAAAAGAAAACCGTCGACGGCACGGGAAGTTACTGGAGGATGAAAACCGGACAGAGCCCTAAAAAAACACGAAGTGGGTCCCAATGTCACAAGAATTTCCTGTTTCGGACAGTACTTCCTTTGACAAATTTCTCAAAAAAAAAAAAAAGAAAAAGAAAAGAAAAAAATCTTCCGTTTACCAGTCATTTTTACAGTTTCGGCGACCCATCCCGTCCCTTCCCGTGACGCTTCCACGAAATTTCCTCCCCTCCTTCCTCCGTGAAGAACAACAACAAAAAGCCGAAGAAGAAAGAACGGAAATATGTACTTCCACTACTCCTCCTTTTGATAATCAGAGCCGAAGTTCCTGGTGCGTTTGCTTGATCTTCTCTTTGGTTCTTACTCTTTTTCTTTTTTTTTTTAATTAATTTTTTTATCCATTTCTTAAATTAAGTCAAGAGTTCTTCAATTTTGGTGAGAAAACTCGAGTTCAATTATCTGGCAATTTTGAAGAACCGAAAATGGAGAAATTATTAATTGTATTTTTAATGTTTACTTAGTCCTGAATGTTATGGTGTTACTGTCCTGCTGCAACTGCGTAAAGCACAGCAAACGATCGTATTTTTTTACGGTTTCTTCGATGTTTGGTTGGAAGGGAGTGCTTGTTGTTGGAATTGACTGGACATGAGTAGTTTGATTTGTCTTTAACGATTGTGTAGTACCATGTTCCTGTGTAATTTTGTTTGGCTCGAAGAGAAAATTGGAATGGTTTTTTTTTTACTTTTTAACGCGAGGCATTCATTTCTTTGGGTTTTTCAATTCCAGGGGGCGGAGCTTGAAGGTTTCCGCAGCATATGAAGAAGTTGTTTTCTTTTAACTTTGTTTCGGGATTGATTCTTGGTTTCTTGATACAAGGTTCACAATAGCCATGAATTATTCACAGGACAAGTTCGTAAGGTCAGTAAAATAGATTTTGGTTTTGGTGTCTTTTTCTTGTGTTTGTTAATTATTCCTATAATAGTGTCTTAGATGTACCTATAAACTGAATATTTATAAATTGCACATTGCAAAACAAAAACAAAAGCAAAATTTGAGAGTTAACCATGAAAGGGAGTAGCTTTTTAAAGGTCCTTTCGATATTGGCGTGAACTTCCTACCTCTTTCATTGTCTGCTATTTATATATTATATTTCAGAACCACAAGGTGACTACTGCCTATGTTTCCTAAATATGGTCACTGCCATTTGAAATTGTTTCCCTGTCCTTATGTATAATTGCTTCTACCAGCGTTAATGTTTCAAACTTTTCACCGGAAACGGGTTTGAACCTTTTTGTGTTTTGCCATTGTTGGTGAATGCACCTTGGACATGAAACCATCTGATGATTTCTTTTTCTTTTCATCAATTTTGTCTTTCAGGTTTCGGGACTGGAATTCAGAGAAAAGCTCTGAGGTGCTGTATTCTACAAATGATGGGGCAAATTCATGGAAATTTCAATCAGCCATAAATTCAATTTCAGAGTGTTTCCAGAGAGGTCTGGAGTCTGGTTCTGAGAGGATTAGAGGGGTTGGAAAGTCACTGAAATCTTATTCATTTAAAACTACTGTGGCTAAAGGGTTTGATTCTAGCAAGAAAGTCCTTGACCCACAGGGGCCTTTCCTTCAAAAGTGGAATAAGATATTTGTGCTCTCATGCATAATAGCAGTCTCTCTTGATCCTCTATTCTTTTATGTGCCGGTGATTAATCGTAGTAATGATGGTAATAATAATTGCCTTGGATTGGACCACAAGATGGAGATTACAGCAAATGTTCTGCGTTCATTCACAGATATCTTTTACATACTCCACATTATTTTTCAATTTCGTACTGGTTTCATTGCACCCTCTTCTCGAGTATTTGGAAGAGGAGTTTTAGTTGAAGATGGATGGGAAATAGCGAAGAGGTATCTGTCATCGTGTTTTTTAATCGACATTCTTGCAGTCCTTCCACTCCCACAGGTGAGGAAATGTTCCTGGCCTTTGAGAGTTCCCTTCCTGGTTTATTCCCTGGATGGCCTTTTGAGTAGTGTTGTATCTTTTTAGGATTTATTTAAAATAAAGTGGTTACATGAATTTATATAATTCATTATGTGAGAAGGAACAATTTTAAAATCTGCCCCTGTAAAAGTTTAAACCACACTTGAGTCATGTTGCGGAAACTTGGATGGATAACTTTAATTTCTCTTCCTATATTTTCTTTGCACCTATACTGAGTTTTAGTATTTTATCATGGTGATCTGTTTCTAAAATCTTGAGCTCAAACTGGATGTGAAACTTGTTGAAGTTATGACTGTTATTATTTGATGTTAACTATGGACTTCTAATCTGCTGTTGTTTGCCTAGGTGGTGATCTTAATTATCATTCCAAAAATGAGAGACGCAAGACCTTTGAATACAAAGAATTTGTTGAAATTTGTTGTTATCTTCCAATATGTACCAAGATTTATGCGGATATATCCTTTGTATAAGGAAGTTACAAGAACTTCTGGTATACTAACTGAAACGGCATGGGCTGGAGCTGCATTCAACCTCCTCCTTTACATGCTTGCAAGCCATGTAAGTTCGATCACCAGAATGGTAATTTTATTTGAGTAACTTTCTATCTTGTTTTCCTTTTTTGGGTCTAGCTTTTTGAGAGCTTTGACACTGATGGTATTTTACTTCAGATAAGGACTTATTGAAGGATATAACATTTTAAATGAAGAGTGCAATACTGCAATTCCTCGTGAGCATTGGAAAGCAGAACAGCATTTTAAACTACATGCATTTGGGTGTATGAGAAAGTTAATGTATAATGATGTAGAATTTTTATGAAAGCAAGCAATATATAAATTTTTAAATTAGAACAGTAAGAGGGGCAGTGGAAATTTAGAAAGCTATAATCTCTATGAGGTCTAATTCATGAGGGCAAAAATTTAGTTTTGAAACTTGTAATATGAATGGATATTCTTGCTAGCTTGAGAGCAAACCTTGCATGAGGGTTCAGCATAAGGCACTTAGTACTGGTAATTATTATAAGCTGGTTGCATATTGTTGCCATCATCTTTCAAATTAATTCAAATTCATAGCTTTTTCTAGCAATTCTCATGACAAATCAAACGAGCATAACTTGGAGTATGATTGAGACTATTCTGCGAAATGTTTTATTAGTAATGTACTTGTTCTTATTATAGGTTGCTGGAGCCTTTTGGTACTTGTTTTCCATTGAAAGGGAAACCACATGCTGGAAAACAGCCTGTCAAAAAAATATTACTGGCTGCAGCATCAAATCATTTTATTGTGATAAAATCCCTAAGCACCACCCATCTGTGAATGAGTTTTGCCCCATACAACCAGAAAATGCAACAGTATTCGACTTTGGGATATTCCTTAATGCTCTTCAGTTGGGTGTTGTGAATTCGACAGATTTCCCACAGAAGTTCTTCTACTGTTTTTGGTGGGGTCTGCAAAATCTGAGGTGTGCACTTAGTTTCCTTGAGTTGGTCATATTTCACTTTGGTGAATATACATAAGATTTATTGTGTACTTTGATGTGGATGATTCTATTTTAGCACATTGCACTTAATTTGTGAGAGGATTTTTGTCATGGTTTTATGCTTTCTTCTTTTTGCAGTTCTCTTGGTCAAAACCTCAAAACAAGTACCTATGTGTGGGAAATTTGCTTTGCTGTTTTGATTTCGATCTCTGGCTTGGTTTTATTTTCTCTTCTCATTGGAAACATGCAGGTTGGTGTTAACCATTTAATATTTTTTGCGTTTGTTAGGCTTGTTTAGTCTGCAGCAGTTCAACTGGTTTCTAAAGTGGGAAACTGTGTGTTTTGCCAAGAAATAGTTATCCACAAATTACATATCTGGTGTTCTGCATTATTAGATTATGCTATTTTAGGATTTAAAAAGTTCATCAAATTCTGAAATGGCTTACTGCTGAAGATCACACCCTCAGACCTATAAATTCTAGGCTCTTACGCATTGTGCTTGCTTTGATGCAGACATATTTGCAGTCCACAACTACTCGATTGGAGGAGATGAGAGTTAAAAGACGAGATGCAGAGCAGTGGATGTCCCACCGTTTGCTGCCAAGTGATTTGAGGGACCGGATCAGAAGATACGAGCAATACAAATGGCAAGAAACCAGAGGAGTAGATGAAGAGAATTTGCTTTGTAATCTTCCCAAGGACCTCAGAAGGGATATAAAACGTCACCTCTGCTTGGCTCTGCTCATGAGGGTAAGTTTCTTTAACAAGGCTTTTGTTACTTTTACCGTACTGCATCTTTTATCGAAATAGGAATGACAGGTTTAATCAATTAATTAACCTTTTCTTGGATGTATTGAAGGTGCCAATGTTTGAAAAAATGGATGAACAACTACTGGATGCAATGTGTGACCGTCTCAAGCCAGTGCTTTACACTGAAAATAGCTACATTGTTCGGGAAGGAGATCCAGTTGATGAGATGCTCTTTATCATGCGAGGCAAGCTATTGACCACAACGACCAATGGTGGAAGAACCGGATTCTTTAACTCTGAATATCTAAAGGCTGGTGACTTCTGTGGAGAAGAACTACTTACATGGGCTCTAGACCCCCACTCTTCATCTAACCTCCCTACTTCAACAAGAACCGTAGCAGCCCTTGCAGAAGTTGAAGCTTTTGCTTTAGTGGCTGATGACCTGAAGTTTGTGGCCTGTCAGTTTCGCCGGCTTCACAGCAAGCAGCTTCGCCACACTTTCCGCTTTTACTCTCAGCAGTGGAGGACTTGGGCAGCTTGTTTCATACAAGCTGCCTGGCGCCGCTATAGCAAAAAGAAACTTGAAGAATCTCTTAGACAACAGGAGAACAGATTGCAAGATGCATTTGCCAATTCTGGGGGAAAAGTACTGAGTTTCCGTGCCACGGTTTATGCTTCACGTTTTGCTGCCAATGCACTCCGTTCTATAAGACGCAATCGTGCTCTTAAAGCAAGAGTGCCGGAGAGAGTGTCACCTATGCTGCTTCAGAAACCATCGGAGCCTGATTTTACAGCTGAAGAACGATAGGCAACTACCATCTTTCCTTGTTGCTCCAGGAAGCTGCGTAAAAGGTGCAACTTCGAATGGCCCGTGGAACATGAAATGGTAGGAAGCCATGGTACAAGGTCTGTAGATCATATTGTATATGACAATATCTATATTTTTTATGCTTAAAATTATTAGGAAGTTGTTATCATGTGTGTTTTAATTTTTCCTCTTTTTTTTTAATCATTTTGATGTAGGGAACTACTACCCTTGTATATGTACAAGAAAATGTAGCATTTGATTAAATTCCCTTCCAAACTTCTTAATGTTGACTTTTGAATGAAATCGTTAAGAGCATATATAATGGAATATGATAAAACACTTATTTTAGTGTCACATTATTATAATTAATATTATTTTCTATAAATTTATATTTTTATATATTTAATTTATCAATAAAATATTTAATAAAACATTATACTTATAATGCATGTATTTAAGTAAAACTTTTTTAAAAAATTATATCAATATTTTTTATTTAATATACATAAAAATAATTAATCCAAACATATTTTAAAGTCGTTGGATTCAGTTATTGCTGACGGGTGTTCGACATCAGCTATTAATTTGTTTTGCCCCTTAGAGTTGATCTCTATTAAGAGAAAGACCAGCTCTATTTAGAAAAATCTTCCAATGGCCTTCAAGTTCTACCTCTGTTTTCTTTTAGGAAAGAACCCTCATTTTATATGCTCCTAGTATCAATAATCATGCAACTGCAAGTGGGAACCTTAGTTTTGCTTTTCAAAAATTTAGTAACAATAGACTAAGAGCAAAACAAAAATCATTTTTTTCATTTAATGATTAACGTTGTACAATTTAAATTGCAATGCTTTTTTTTTCCCTTTTTTTTTTTAAATAAACACGTTTATTGAAAAAAAATGCATGACAAACCCCAAAAAAATGCCGAGCAGCCTAGCCTCTCTCTTGCAAAAATTCTCTCCCTCTCTTGCTTCCCCTCTTCCCTTAGCTGTGGCCTCTCTCTCCCTGCAAAAGTTTATGTTTAGTCCCTTATGTTATGAAGTTCGTCACTTTTAACTGCTCATCTTATATATTGAACCTTTTAGCCCATGGATTTAAAATTTTAAAGATTTAATTTTTAGGGATTAACTCTTGGTTAAGTGAAATTAAAAAATTATAAAATCAATGCCCAAAGTTTAGAAAAATAATAGTTCAATCTCTTAAGTGAGGAGTGAAAGTAACAAATTTCATAAGATAATGAGCTAAATATAAGTTTTTGCCCTCCCTCCTTTAACCGTTAGAGAAAATGAATAAAAGTAAGAGGTTTTTTATATTTTTGTTTACTTTATAAAGTTATTTTGTCTCTTTTTACGGGGACTTTGCATGCTCTTTTTCATTTTTATTCATAATATTTTATCTCACTTTGAAAAGAATGGTAATATGGTGACATGATTGCTTAAACTTAAATTAATTGTGACACTTATTTCAGTTATGACTGGTATAGTCGACATGTTGATGGAGAGTCGAATTCTCTTATATTAATTCAAATATGGCTTTAGTGATACGTGGAAGAGACTAACTCTTTTCTAAACTAGTATATCTTCTCTTTGATACAACACTTAGTTGGTGAAGATTATTATTTGTCACATTACCTACTCTCTCAAATTGCCATAATAGTTGAGAAAAAAGGAAAAGATTTCTGCAAAGAAAGAAGAAGAATATTTATAAAGGATTGAGAAACCACTTGGAGTGGAGTCGAACCGTCCAGCCGTCAGAGCTTGTGGAGTAGGAAATTACGGAGAGTTTTGATAAGTCTGTAGGGACAACCGTCAAAGGAGGTTGGGGAAGTACTAAACCAAATGGTACTTGATTGGATTGGCATATTGGGTCGTTAGATTGAAGTTCGAAAAAAGGAGGTCACAGCAAACTTTGGCTTTAACCGTCAACCCTTACGGTGGATTGCTGACACAAATACAGAATTGCATATAGGGATTTGGAAATTGGAAATTGGGAGTTGCTGGTGCAAAGCTTGCGATGGGGATTTTTATAATACTTGGAAATTGTTAGGAATTATTAATTAAATAAATAAGAAATAGGGGGGCTTAGTGGGCCGTCAAAAATTGTAGAGCAAGGTACGGTGGTTGCGACTGTTAGAATTGTGGAGCAGAAGGTGAAATTGATCGTGGGCTTAGGGATTTGTTTGGTGGGTTGTTCATATGTTGGGTTATTGGGCTTAAGTGAAGTTAAGCAAAATTTGGTCTATAGAAAATTATTATTGAGTATCTTTAAGTGCAATTTTAGGATTCTAATTTTCTAATTCTAAAAAGAGGTGAAAGAGACTTGGTTTCTTTATTTTGATTTCCACTTTCTTGGTCATCAAAAGTCTATGTTCCTTTCCTCAATGAAAAACGTCTATGATCCTTAGCAGCAAGCGGCAGCATCCAGC